TTTGGGGTTATATTGTAAATTTTTTTTTTTTTTGATGTTCTATCTTTCCTTTTTCGGTTCTTTCATCGGTACGTTATGCCTTCATAGCGTGTAGGGTTGGCGAATACGGTGTCCACATTGTAGTGGGCATGACGTCATCGACGGACCGCAACCATTGGTGCCACGTGTATTCTCTTTCTGCTCCAATGAATGGTGGTGTGACTTCGTGATCATAATGGATATGTCGGCGGAATGTTTTTGTGTGTTTGTGTGTTTGTGTGTTTGTGTGTTTCTTGGTTTGGTTTTCATTTCTTTTTATTTCTTATTTATTTATTTTTTTTGGTGAATCTTTCTTATTTTATTTAGGGTTTCGTTTCAGTAGTTGCACTTCACCCCTTGCGAAAGACTCTTCTCATCCATGTGCCTGCCGTTTTTCTTGTCTTGCTTCGTGTTCGCGTTTCGGTTCGGACACACGGCGCGACTATACACGAATGAACAAGAAGATGGGGAAAAATAATAAATAAATAAATAAAACAGGAAGAAAAAAACAAAAAATACGAAGCAACTGCCTCCTGTACAAACAATATGTTGAATGGTGGGATCGGTAGTATGGTTTCTGTCAATCGGATTGTGTGTGTGATTTTTCATTCCTTTGTTTTAGTGATAGGCTTTCTTTCCCATCGTGAGGTTTCGTTACATGCTCCTTTCATTACCTGTTTGCCTTTACACTGCGTGCAAGTGGCTCTTTGTGACACCCGGAGATGGGGGTACCCAGCGCTCTGCCTTTCCTCCACGTGTCTGGCCTCGTACGTCAAAGGTGACGAATATATATATATATATATATATATATATATATATATATATATATATATATATATATATACGTTGGAAAGAAAAAAAGCAACAGCTACATCTCACAGATAAAGCAACACCCACTGACACCTCCAAGGCAAACATCGACGTCACCTTTTATTTTATTATTGATATATCTGTATTTGTTGTCTCCATGACTTGAACCGTTTAATCTGTGTTTTTTTGCACATATATATATATATATATACACTCTTGATGAGTCGGTGAAACTCCGACGAAACAGTTTGTCACAGCCCTTCGTTTGTTGTCCTCTTCTCTCTCTCTGCTTACGGTTCACCGGGCAGTTCTGTTTGTGACGATATATATATATATATATATATATATGTGACTATATACAGATAAACGTTGTCCCTATTGTGCCCAAGGACGCTATCAGAACTGTATGATGTCGCACTGTGATGAACGTCCTGCTGTGTTTTTGACATGTGGACAACATGTGTCCTCTGTCATGACTATTTTGATGGGATGGTTCGTGCTAGCCGTCCTGCTGAATGTTGTGTTGACGCAGCTCTCCTTGGGCATCCTTGTGAACATCCACATCAACCTAACCGTAGCTGTCCTATCTGTCGAGGKGGGGACAGGTAAAAAAAAAAAAAAAAAAAAAAAAAAAAAAAAAAAAACGCTGATATGTGGGATGTGTTATTTGCTTTGTGATAATTGGATTATCTTTCTTTCCCTATCTTCCTTTCTCTGTCAGGTTTGGTTTCCTCCTCCTTTTCTTTACCTCTTTGCCTTTGGTTGCGTGCAAGTGGGTCCTTGTGACACACGGGGATGTGGGCAGCCAGCGCTCAACCTGTCATCCACGTGGCTGGCCTTGTATGTAAGAGGTTATGAACAGGTGGAGTTTTCCTTAGCTCTTCCCCTTCCCCTTTTTTCCTTTTCCTTTTTTCTTTTCCCTTTTTTTTTTCTTTTTTTTTTCGCTTCTGCGCTCTGATTCACAATGTGACAATATATATATGGTCACAAACAGAACTGCCCGGTATTTTGCTTTATCTCTGGGATGCGTGTGTTGCTTTCCTTCTTTCTCTCTCTCTCTGACCTTCCTCGTTGTCTTCCTTCTGTGAGGTCTGCGTGCATCTGTGGGGTGTGTCGATGTACATTCTGTACTCCGTACGCAACGCATTTGAGGGGGAGCGCTCAATCCGGAGAATGTACCCAATATTCATGTCACAATCCTATCATACTGTCCTTGAACAGTCAATGACCACAGGCAATAATCGTTCGTCACATCGATGACAAATAGCACCCAAGCACCCAATATTCACGTCTCAATCCTATCATACTGTCCTTGAACAGTAGATAACCACATACAATAATCGTTTGTGACATCGATGAAGAAACAACCGTAATATAGTGTGAGTTTCGATGTGACCCTGAGGCAAAAGTTGTTCACTTTTGATCCCTTCATATAATAATTTAGTTTCGGTAATTTGCGGGATGGTTTTTATTTTTATTTTTATTTTTATTTTTATTTTTTTATGAGGAATTTAACCTCCTCCTATGACGGCCTGGCCACCCGGCAGGCGGGCCGCCAGGGTCCAAACCTTGCATTTGTAAATATATATGCAGGTTTGCGTTCAGGACGGGCCGGTTTGCGTTCCAAAAATAAAATATGTCTTTCACAAAAATAAAGTAAGTAACATTTGCGTCACGAAACTAAATATTATGGTAAAACTAACGCAAAAATGCAAAAAAATCAACAAAAAAAACAATATACAATGAGTTGTGCGTGGTCGAGGGGGCCCCGGCCTTGGGCCAGCTATTGTCTCGGCACGTCGCCCACCACCTCCTCTCCCGCAAATGAACGGGGATCAAATATGAGCGGCATGGCCGCATCCTGCGTTTTTGGTGGAAACCGCGGTACAGATTGTTGGTGAGGAGGACCGCAATGACCAGTTTTTGCACATCCTTGTGGGAAACGATCGACTGGACGCGGCGGCTAACAGATTCGCAGGGTACAGGGAGTTCGCAAACCTCTGCGGTTACACCCGCCGTCAGAGACTGTCGGCGGAATTCGAGGAGGCAATGTGTATGAGGTGGCCTAACCCGCAATACGATGGTTACGTCGGCTTCATTCCAGATCCACGCGCTCCGGCCGATAACGATAACCCTCACCCAAGGTAGATGCTAGAGAGAGAGAGAGAGAGAGAGAGAGAGAGAGAGAGAGAGAGAGAGAGAGAGAGAGAGAGAAAAAAAAAA